TTGGCGTATGGGATCCGGTGCATATTCCCGAGGCTCTCCCTTGCTCTGACGACTTACTCGTCGTCCTCGCTCTCCTCCTCGCTCTCCTCCTCGCTGGCCTCCTCGCTGCCCTCGCCCTCGCTGTCCTCGCTGTCCTCGTCGTCGCTGTCCTCGCCGCTGCCCTCGTCGCTCCCCTCGTCGCTGCCCTCGTCGCTGCCCTCCCCGTCAGAGGTGAAGGGCGTGCTCGGCTTGCTCGCCCACACGTCCATCTTCTTTGGCAGCGGCTCGTCCTGCTGGTCGCCGTGGCCCAACTGGCCCCCGCCCCCACAACCCCAGCTCCAGACATGGCCGTCGGCGGTGAGGGCGAGGCTGTGGGTGTATCCAACCGAGACAGCGACGACGCGCTGGCCAGCAAAGGCCTCGACCTTCTGCGGCAGCAGCTGCTCCTGCTGGTCGCCATGGCCCAGCTGGCCATCGTAGCCAGAGCCCCAGCTCCAGACAGCGCCGTCGGCAGTGACGGCGAGGCTGTGGAAGTCTCCAGCTGCCACAGCGACGACGCGCCGCCCTGCAAAGGCCTCGACTTTCTTGGGCAGCAGCTGGCGCTGCTGGTCGCCGTGGCCCAGCTTGCCAGAGACTCCATCGCCCCAGCTCCAGACGGCACCGTCAGCGGCGAGGGCGAGGCCGTGGTTGCCTCCAGCCGACACAGCGATGAGGCACCGGCCAGCTAAGGCCTCGATCTTCTTGGGCAGCAGCTGATTCTGCTCGTTGCCGTGGCCCAACCGGCCCCGGCTTCCATGCCCCCAGCTCCAGACAGCGCCGTTGGCGGTGAGGGCGAGACTGTGCTGGCTTCCAGCCGACACAGCGACGACACGCTGACCCGCCATAGCCTCGACCTGCTTCGGCAGCAGCTGGGTCTGCTGGTCGCCGTGGCCCAAGGAGCCAAAGCGTCCATCGCCCCAGCTCCAGACAGCGCCGTCAGCGGTGAGGGCGATGCTGTGAGCCCCTCCAGCCGACACAGCGACGACGCGCTGGCCAGCAAAGGCCTCGACCTTCTTGGGCAGGAGCTGGTTCTGCGTGTCGCCGTGGCCCAGCTGGCCAAAGCCTCCATCGCCCCAGCTCCAGACAGCGCCGTCAGCGGCGAGGGCGAGGCTGTGGTACATTCCAGCCAACACGCTCACGGCGCGCTCGCCGCCCAGCACCGACGATAGGCGGGTCGGCGTCGCCAGTCGCGTCACGCCCTCGCCGTGACCGAGAAGCCCTGGGCTGTAGGACGGCGCTAAGCCACACGACGAGAGCCGCCCCTCGCCGTCGGTGAAGACGCTGTGCAATTGGCCTCCCGCCGCCCTCGCCGGCGGGTTGGACTCGCGCAGCAGCGCTGAGTAGCACAGCCACCGCACAGCGCAGCTCTCGCCCTCGGGCTGCGCCGGCAGCTCGAAGCCGCGCTCTTGCGCCCACAAGCGGATGCCCTCCAGCACCAGCGAGGCGTGGAAGAGGAGCGAGACGGCCGCGACGCGAGCGATATCGATGGGGCTGTCGAAGCGGGAGAGGACGCGCTCGAGGAGCTCCCTGGGGAGGTCGAGGAGCCGGGCGGGCGGCGGCGCGTCTGGCGAGGGCGCGGCGGTGGCTGAGGTGGCGAGGCGGCGCGAGCGGCGGCGCGACGGGGTGGACATCGCGAGGAAAAGAATCTTACAACAAAACTCCCTCGCACGACACTGGGCACGGGACTGGCGCGCACTGGCACGAACACAGGTACAAAGAATTTAAACAAGACAACTCTCTCTCACAGCACACAGGCTCGACACAGGTGCGAACTGGCGCGTGCTAGGAAAAGAATGTATGTTCTTTATATGACAGGAGAATTTAAACAAAACAACTCTCTCTCACAGCACACAGGCTCGACACAGGTGCGAACTGGCGCGTGCTAGTACTATCACCGGCACACCACCGGAGCCGCCTAAGCGACTCCGTTAAGAACGGCAATGCACTTAGCTCCGTGCACAATGCCGCTGTCCCCGCACGCTAGCTCGTTCACCGTCTGCCACGCCACGGCGGTGTGGAGAACGACAGACAAGCGCTGCATCTGCAGCCCGTGCCAGTTCTTGGTGGTCCATGTGACCTCATCGAGGTGCTGAGCGTGCGAAAGTTTGTTACTCAGCTGGTCCGCCGCCTGCCGAAGAATTCTGCGGACGCCGTCCCCGAAGCCGCCGAACGTCTCGAAGTCAAGCAAACGCAGGTCGCAATTCTTCTCCCGCGCGAACCGGTACTCGCCCTTCTCGTAGGGGGCCGTCACAGGTGCCCCTGCCTCCGCCTCCGCCTCCCCCTCACTCTCCCCCTCCTCCTCTTCCGCCGCCGCCGCCTCCGCCTCTGCATCCTCCGCCTCCCTCCCCCCCTCCCCCCCCCCCCTCCGGCCGCGGCCATGCAGCATGCCCGAGCACTAAGTCGAGCAGCGCCCGCTCGGTGTTGCCGAAGGCGACAAA